TTTTTTTTCTAATCTGCTGCAGCACGTCCGGCCCTCTGATCCGGCTTAGTTCCGATGGTCTATCTCGCTTTCAATTCGGTTTCGCCGGATCATCTAGACGTAGAGGCGCATACTGCTGTATAACTCCAACTTTAATCCAAAAGCAATGATTTGTCGGCTCTGTCTATGGCTATCCCCGCCGGTTCATCCTATGTGATTTCCTCTTAACTGATTGATCACAAGCTTCTCGATCCCTGAAGAAGATCCCTTCAAAAACTCAACACCACCGTACGCAGGCCCCACGGTGGGTGCCAACTGTCGTGGAATTGTCACGGCAGATGTCCTTAGTGTCAGGACTTAGTCGCGAGGCCAACGCATCTATGTGGTAGCTGTTGGAAATATGCCCTAGAGGCAATAATAAAAGCATTATTATTATATTTCTTTGTTCATGATAATTGTCTTTATTCATGCTATAATTGTGTTATCCGGAAATCGTAATACATGTGTGAATAACAGACACCAACATGTCCCTAGTAAGCCTCTAGTTGACTAGCTCGTTGATCAATAGATAGTCATGGTTTCCTGACTATGGACATTGGATGTCATTGATAACGGGATCACATCATTAGGATAATGATGTGATGGACAAGACCCAATCCTAAACATAGCACAAGATCGTATAGTTCGTTTGCTAGAGTTTTTGCAATGTCAAAGTATCTCTTCCTTCGACCATGAGATCGTATAACTCCTGGATACCGTAGGAGTGCTTTGGGTGTATCAAACGTCACAACGTAACTGGGTGACTATAAAGGTGCACTACAGGTATCTCCGGAAGTATCTATTGTTTTATATGGATCGAGACTGGGATTTGTCACTCCGTATGACGGAGAGATATCACTGGGCCCACTCAGTAATGCATCATCATAATGAGCTCAAAGTGACCAAGTGTTTGGTCACGGGATCATGCATTACGGTACGAGTAAAGTGACTTGCCGGTAACGAGATTGAACGAGGTATTGGGATACCGACGATCGAATCTCGGGCAAGTAACATATCGATGGACAAAGGGAATTGCATACGGGGTTGATTAAATCCTCGACATCGTGGTTCATCCGATGAGATCATCGTGGAGCATGTGGGAGCCAACATGGGTATCCAGATCCCGCTGTTGGTTATTGACCGGAGAGCGATCTCGGTCATGTCTACATGTCTCCCGAACCTGTAGGGTCTACACACTTAAGGTTCAGTTACGCTAGGGTTGTAGGGATATGTATATGCAGTAACCCGAATGTTGTTCGGAGTCCCGGATGAGATCCCGGACGTCACGAGGAGTTCCGGAATGGTCCGGAGGTAAAGATTTATATATGGGAAGTCCTGTTTCGGGCATCGGGACAAGTTTCGGGGTTATCTGTATTGTACCGGGACCACCGGAGGGGTCCCGGGGGCCCACCGGGTGGGGCCACCCATCCCCGGGGGCCACATGGGCTGTAGGGGGTGCGCCTTGGCCTACATGGGCCAAGGGCACCAGCCCCACTAGGCCCATGCGCCTAGGGTTCAAGGGGGCAAGAGTCCTAGGAGGGTAAGGCACCTCCTAGGTGCCTTGGGGGGGAGGGAAACCCCCCTTGGCCGCCGCACCCCCTAGGAGATTGGATCTCCTAGGGCCGGCCACCCCCCCTTGGCACCCCAATATATAGTGGGGGAGAGGAGGGACTTCATACCTTGAGTCCTTGGCCTTTGGTTGCCTCCTTCTCCCTCCCCAACACCTCCTCCACCTCCTTTTGCTTAGAGAAGCTCTGCCGGAGTACTGCAGCTCCATCAACACCACGCCGTCGTGCTGCTGCTGGTGCCATCTCCCTCAACCTCTCCTCCCTCCCTTGCTGGATCAAGAAGGAGGAGACGTGGCTGTTCCGTACGTGTGTTGAACGCGGAGGTGCCGTCCATTCGGTGCTAGGATCTCCGGTGATTCGAATCACGTCGTGTTCGACTACATCATCCCCGTTCTTTGAACGCTTCCGCTCGCGATCTACAAGGTATGTAGATGCATCTATTCACTCGTTGCTAGATGAACTCCTAGATGATCTTGGTGAAACGAGTAGGAATTTTTTTATTTTCTGCAACGTTACCCAACAGTAGCTTGAGAGGGGTTGAGCGGGACGAGAGATGCGAGGTTTTACCCAGGTTCGGCCCCTCGCGGTGGAGGTAAAAGCCTACATCCTGCTTCATTGATATTGATGATGATGATCACGGTTACAAGAGTGCTCTTATCTCGAGAGCTATTGTCTAAACCTAACTTGTCCAAGGTTGTGGAACTTGTGAATCTTGTCCCCCTTCTTGGGGAGCCTTTCCCCTCCTTATATATGTTGAAGGAGCGGTTTACATGTGGAGTTCTATTAGAATTAGGACTAGTCTATCTCTAATACAAACCGAATACAAGTCCAGGTCTTAGCTCCTTGTAAGATAATGTTCCTCATGCCTTTCCTCTTAAACCGGCCCACCGTGAATCGGCCTTCTGGGCTTTGGGCCTTGTCATCCGTCGATCCCGCATGCCGGATCATCAGTGAGTCATAATGACCAGGTGGGTTCCTTGTAAACCGCCAGGTCAGGGCGGGTCACTAGTAACTCGCCAAGTGTCAGCGGGGTCTTCAGATAAATCGCCAAGTCCGCCCGGGTTAACTTTCGGCCGGTTTACACCGCGGGGTATATCCCCGACACTTTCGGTTACCCCGAAACGCTTTCGGATCCTCTCGGAACTATTCGAATGTTAATGAAATAATTTCACAAATATGTTCTCATCACTCCCGTCCTACTAACACTCAACAGACCGTGATTGCCTTAATCTTGTGATCCTGCGGGTTCGGCAACTCATATACATGAACGAAAATGTTCGTTAAATGACCGATAGCGAAACCGTGGATGTCTATATCTATCCCTATGAGCACACGAATGATAATTGGGTGAACCTTTGGTTATCATGTGATGTTCCCTTTGCTTCGCGATACTTTGCAGAACCCGGGATGCATCGGTATCCTTCCCGACTCAGCACCATGCTCACTATACCGAAATCCTCATCATCGGTTTTGTCCTTCTTTCTCGTTATTGTGTTCCGGCATCCCCGTGATGTGGTCACCTGTGTTTGGGCAGATGATGATGGATATCGTCACACCGAGAGGGCCCTAAGAATAGGGTGCGACTTCGCATTGCGTTCATGGATGACATGCATCTCGTAGGGCGCGAAGTTCTTTCGTTCATGAAAGGATGCATTGCATGTTTTGCCAAAAGGCTAAGCCCTTCTACATGCCTACAAATTTCGCAGATACGACTAACCACACATCGCACATCAACTCATCCCCGATCACCGAGTACCCGCCATCATGCTTACTATATAAAAAAACAAGAAGTTCAACCAAAAAGCTCAATGGCATTTGACCGAACATTTGCTGCCTGCCGGGCGTGGTGTCCGCCATGGACAATGCCGGGAGGGGGCGGAGGGAACCTGGCGAAAGGATATTGGGTGGACGGCGACATAGTCCAAGGGGGGTAGGCGCATGTGTGGGGGTTGGGGAAGGAGAGGTATCACGACGATCGAAGAGGTACAACGGCAACGTCAGACGAGGAAGATATGGATGAAAACAAGGGGGCAAGGGTAGAGTGGAAGAAAAGTGCCGGGAGGGGGATTTGAGTGAGTCGGGGTTGTCGGAGTCCTACATGGGGCGGTCCGGACTCCTGTGAAAGGTCCCTTTTGTTTTTGGTTTGTGAGAAAACGAACAAACAGACGTGTCGGTGGACCGATACGGTCAGAGTTGAATGGCAAAATACGCCTGAACAGCTCAGCTCCGAGGTTTGAGGGGCCCGCTGGAGATGCCCTAATATATCTTTCTAGTAGAATGGATTTGGTACCTCTCCTGCCAATATTATATAATTAAAAAATAGATGGAAAAGTCGGAGGAACACGAGCGGCCCTGCACAAACGGCCGAAAACGGAAACCTGAGGTCAAGTCAGAGAGAGCTGAGGCGTTGTGCCGCTCCCGTGCTGGCGTTGGCGTTCCTCCCCTTTGTTCGGCCCCCCTCGCCCTTCCGAAGCCACAAACCAAACCCTAGAATCCCACGGTACCAGGAAGGAACCTTCCGATCCCCAAAACAGAGCGCGGAGACCGGAACCTGCACAGGTATCGCATTTTTTCCTTGCTTCGGCTTCTCCTTCTGCCTAGGGCGAGATTATGCCTTCTTCCTACGCTGTTCCGCGGCGTCAGAAACGAGAGTTCGCCCTTTTTGGGGGGCTACTACTAGTTTTCTCTCCTGATGGATGTATGTACCCCCTGAGTTCACGCGAGCTCTGATCCCCATGAAGCATTTTTTTCCCTCTTTGTGTTTGTGTGTCCATTCTGATTCTGTGCCTCCAGTAAGAAAAATGAGTTTCGGGTTGGGGATTGCGTCAGGGGCAAAATGCGCAACCCCCCTGCTTCGTTTGTAAATCATCTGAGTGGTCGATGTTGGTGCTGATTTAGGATTTCCAGCAGCACATTCCGTATGTGCTTACCTTTGTCGGTTACCATTATTTAATCAGCGAAAGAGCTTGATGGTTTTACCTGAAGATGGTTGAGAACTCCAACAGACTGGGAACAGAGAGGAAACATGGTTTCTGTTGTAGTGGTAATTCTAGGTCCTAGGGGCTCGACGGAATCGTTGTCCTAGTAGTGATTGCAGGAAGAAAGAACTTCTGCTGGGAGCTAGGAAGGTCTGAAACCGATAACATGATCTTCATATATTTCCGTTTTGCTTAAGATGATCTTTGTCCTGTTTCACATATTTTGATATTAGGGCAGGGGATCTAAATTAGTATTCCGTTTTGATTTTGATATTAAGGCAGGGGGTCTAAAATATTATTCTGATGTGATTTTGATATCAAGGCAGGGGATCTAAATATTATTCTGTTGTGATTTTGATATTAAGGTGGGGGATCTAAAATAGTATCCTGTTGTGCGCTTCTTGTTTACTGAAGATGTGCCAACGCTTGCACCAGCATGTCACTTGGGCCCCTGGACTTGAATATTTCACATTCTGTTAAGCCTGTACAACTGGGTAAACAAATGTAAGAATCATGGTTATTAGAGGTACATGAGTATGAGTCACATGATACCTTAGGTCAGTCTAAATCTCCATGTGATCATTATTTGAGATCATTGGAGAATTAATATTCTTGGATTTGAACAAGTTTTTGCACATCTTATGATTTTTTTAGTTCTTTACAAGCTCCCGGTTGATCTTAATTAGCAATTGCATGGTCAAAATTTAGTTTAAACAGGAGGATCCAAGTGCCACATGGCCATTAGTTACTATCTAAGTTAAGTTTAGTCCTCTATTTTGTATTTACCCACTTCTACAATTTGTGGAGGCCTAAGTGTGCCATTCTCAAGTTCGAGGGGCCAAGTTACATGGCCGTGCAAATTAAACACCTATGGTGTCTGCTCTATTTTGGTCTTGGGAATAGTTCACTTTATGTTGTTTAAGTTGGCAAATTTTCTTTGGTGGACAGGTTGGGCATGATTCATTGAACTATGGGTCGTCTCAAGGCAAGGATGCGGGAAGCCTATGAAAGCAATCAAAAGAATGAACATCGCTCCATATGCTTACACTCTTTTTCTGATCTGTCACATGTTTCTGCAGCTACTTTTATGTATCTTTTGAAGGACTGCTACTTCTATGGTATACTTTTCCTTTATGTTATCCTTAAATTTCCATGAATGTGATGCTTCTGTAACTTGGTATTCATTATTTATTTGTTGAAATGTTTTTTTCTAAGCCCTGCCACAACTTGTTCTGTGAACTATGATAATAGAACCTTCCTAAACAAACAAAACTTGTGTTAGAAAGTATAGCCCCTGTGCAATCTGTAATTGGGATGAGTTAAACTTTGCCATCATAATATAGCGCACGGCCTTGAATCCTTTGCTTTCCAAACTCTTTGTATTTATGAGTAGCTGAATTCTGTAGTTATCTACTCCATCACAGATGTGCTATTGCCTTGTTCTTTCATGTCTATTTGATTCTTGATCTTCTCCTTTATGTTATTTGTTATGCTTTTCATAGCTCTGACCTTTTGTAAGCTTTAATTTAGGAACCCACAAAGCAACTGCAAAGTTCAGGATCCTTCAGCAGCAGGTTAAAAGGGCATTAAATAATGATCCTCAACCAGGCCCATTCACATACATTGTCCAATGCATGTACATTATACCTTTGTTGGGCCAAAGTCATGCTGAAGGGTTCAGCCATATGTTGATATCTTCTCTAAGGCATTTGAAATCCGTGGAGTCAGTACAGAAGGATTTTATTGATGCAAAGTGTCTTGCTGCACGGCTTGTTCTCGATATCCTTGCTTCTGTTGTACCCCATGAAGAACGCATACTGGTAAAGCTCCTTGAGACATTCGATATCGAGTTGAAAGATATGGCCCATGCTTTCTGTGGTTCAGAGTTGGGTGATGAAGATCTAGCGGCAGCAAGAGAACATCTTAAACAGCATGTACAGTACTTTATGAAATCAGAATCATATGTGACTGCTGTGGCCCTGATGACACGCTTCTCCATCCAATGCTGTGATGAGTCATTTCTCATAAAACTGATTGGAGGTAAGCAATACAAGGCAGCAGAGGAATGGGCAGCTTTCATGGGGAAAGAAATGATAATTTTGATAATTCAAAAGTATCTAGATGTTAAAATGCTAAAGAGCGCCAATGAGCTGGTGAAACAATATGACCTTGCAGAAGAGTTTCCGGATGTTAATTACTTGTATAAAGAGAGGTGACTTTCCTGTTGCTCAATGGGAAGTGATTAAAGGATATTTGTTTAGGGTTATTTGGAATTTTTATGAGATCTTTTGTATTTGCAGTTCGCTAAAGAAGCTGGCAGAGAAAGGGTGCTGGGATGTTGCAGAAGTCCGTGCCAAGAAGGATACAAAGCTGATGGAATACCTGGTAACTTGCATCCATCTTACCACAATCAACTTTTTAGACGTGTTTGCTGTTTATACATGCCCTAGATCATTATTCTATTTGGATCAATAGAAATTAGGATTCATTTTATTAAGACATTGCTTCCTATACACCGTTACCTTTTGTTCATGGGATGAAGTGGGTGGGAGAACGGTTTTCTGTTTTG